TCGGAAGAGAAAGTGGGCTTGGTGGGAGATTCTTGCGTTGCTTTCTTGTTCGTAGCAGCAAGTTGATGGAAAAAACGAGGAAGAAAGTGGAGAGGATTACCGAGTATAGCAAGGTGTTTTCCATCTTGAGATGGTGGAGACGATGTGGTGATTGACTTTGAGGCTGTCCGTGAAGATTTATTTGTTTTTTTTTGGTATTATTAGAAAAGAATTATTGAATTTTCCTGTGCTCTGATGTGACATGGGAGCTCCTTTCTATCTTGTTTTTAGCAACATCAATGGATATTTTCTAGGGCTTTCTTGCTAAATTTAATTGGAGAATTGATGTCAAAATTGCTCGAATTATTGATTTATCTAGTTGTCTCTCACAGGTAAATATCCTATCCGATTTAACTATAAATTTAACATGTATTAGACCTGATCAAATCCATAATTTTCAAGATGCTAAATTAAGAAAATGACATGAAATAATACATTGATTGTTCAATTTAAAATCCATTTGGAAATACTTTTTTGCTTAAATATTTTTATATATTTTTTAATATTATTTTAAATAAAAATATTTTTATCATCGAAATACTTTAAAATATTAAAAAAAATATTAATTTTAAATAGAAATAATAAAAAATTGAAAAATAATTCTAAAACAAGAAAACAAAAAAGACTGTCTCGAAATTAATAAGCAGGCAGATCTGGGAACAGGCAAATCGTCTCTGATACTTTTCGTGGCTGAAAGGGCATCCGCATGCAAGGGAAATTAATGCAGTCCAAAAGATATACAGGGCAGATGCAGTGTATTGCCAAATATGGATGATGTTGATTTGCCCTTCTCACTCCCAAGCTTCTTCCCCACATGCATGGCTGCCCTCAACATGGCTTGTCAGCTCAAAAATACACTCTGCAACTACGGAATGTCCTCAAACTTTTCCCGATCTGGGAGTTTTACAATCCAAATAGAGTAATAAAACGATGAACAACTTGCATTTTTAACTGGGTTTTTTTTTTAATTTATTTTGCATGACTAAAATCCTAAACCTAGAAGCCAGGGAAACGAGACAGTAGCTCCTTGTAAATCATTGGCCATTCTCCTCCTCCATGCGTCACAAATACTGTAAAATCTTGAAAATTTATAGTTTTAATATGCAGATATATAAATTCTTATATAAATATAAGATTGAAAGTGATACCATCTTAATGAGTAATGAAAATCAAAATTAGAAATAATAAATAAATAATGATATAAAATAGAAGGGATTACCTCTATAAAATGAATTTATATTTAGAATTCATAAAAACAGAGAAACTGATAATATTTTTTTATAGATAAAATAATGAAAAAAATAACAAAATATTTCTAATACATAAGTGAGGTAATAAAGAATACATTATAATAAAGGATATAAAAGGTAGGACTGAAGGTGCAAGCATTGATTAAAAATTAGTAATGTTATTTTGAAATGGTAATAAACCTAATAAATAAATAAAGGTGGAAATTCTAAAATATATATATTTAAAAATAATAAAATAAACTTAAAGGTTTAGAAATAAAATTGATATGATTTTATGTGAAGATTGAATAAGAAAATTTGAATCGTTGACAAAAAAGGCATGAACTGATCAATTTTACATTAGAAAGTAGAGCTCTCAATCCAATCATCATATCAGAATGGAATTTTTCATGAAGTCTAATAATATGTTTTCCTACCTTGGTTGAATATTTCATCCCAATTAGAGTGTGGTAAAAACTAGCGATTTAAGCAGAAATAAACCATATAGTTTACATAAAAAATAAAATAAAATACATAAAGGTTTGAATGAGGGATAAAATTGTAATTATAAAAAAGGTGCCTATAAAACTGCAAAAAGGACACCAGTTAAAAAAAAAGAAAAAGAAAAATTAGAGAAAATTGGATATAGAGAGAACTACATATTTTAAAGAAACCAATAATGTTCCGGTGGCCATATCTCTGGAATGCATTATTAGATCCTTCTATTTTTTGGATATATTATTCTTATCACACTCCTCTACTAACCAACTGAAGGGATAAGAAGGAACACAATCCTTGTGACATAAATCATCATCGAAAATTTTATAGAAAACAAAAAACATACATCTACAAGGCAGTTTGGTCGTCAGTTGATTTTTGTCTCTTTCATCATTGGATCATGCTCATTCTGGACGGTGGAGATTGGAAATGCATTCTCCGACAAGGTTTCGTGCATGTTGAATAATAGCTCGTCCATTTTTAGGTAAGCTCAGTTTTATTCAGATTTAGGGAGATCTAACGTTGGATCATTATGATTTTGTGATATATTATACACAACCTAATGATATGTAGTTTGACTATTGGGTTTAAAATAATAATCAGAGGTTGATGGTTTATTGCCTTTTGAATCTATTGCTAGTTTTTGAAAAATGTAGTAAGCTTAATTAAATACATGTTTTAATAAAATTAGAATTGTGTGGTTGTAGGTTTTATGGAAGATGTAATGGTGAAATATGTTTTTATTATTAGTATTATTATAGATTAAATGTGTATTCTTTCTACGAGGGAAAAAATGATTATTGTGTAAGATAATAAGAAACATTGCTATATGAACATGTTGATTGAATAAAAAAAGCTAACATCTTAGCTGTGTGGATATAAATGGGGTGAAACCATGAAGAAATTAAAATGAAAGAAATTTAGAAAATAAAACATATTTAAAACTAACCATAAGTATTTTTAGCAAATTGATTAGTTAATGAAGATTGTCATGGATTCCAACTAATAGGGTGAAATTGTTGTTGTGACAATGATATAAGAATATTAATTGTTAAGGTTTGTCACTTATGTTTAATTGCACGAGAAGAAAGTGAAAGAAAATGAATTGTTCATCATTTTGTTATATTAATAATAATAATAATAATAATAGGAGAAATCCTAAAAGGAATGAATTTCCATATTTTGGTCCAATCTTGCTACACTGTAAAGGTAGGGAAATTGTTTTAATCTTTTGCTTTAGAATTTATTTGAATTTGTGATTTAATGATGTCAAATGACCTTGGAGGATGTTGCTTTTGCATGAAAATAAGTTGGAAGTTGGAAGGGATTTCCAGGGGATGAAAATCATCGTTGCCCAAAAATTTTAGCTATAAAAGAGGGCCTATTGTGATTGTTGATTTTGAGCCCTTACAACAAAATAATTTAGAGTTGACTTCTTCATAAAAATTATATTTCTATGTTTTAGCCTTTGATATAGATAAATCACATCCAAAATAAAGTTTTACAACTTTAGTTATGATTAAAACACTAGATAGTCTTTTGGATTGGTTAAGCTAAATTGATCGGAATTAGATGATTTTTAATCTTTGCTTGGAATTGTTGTTGAGTGATAATTTTGATAAAAAAAATTATAAGAATGAATATAAACATGAAAATGGAAAAGAGCATGAGATCATAAAGAAATTTCTTATGATTGGTTTGAGAATACTAGTTGAATGAAAATTAAATAAAGTTGTGATGTTGGTTGTATTATTGATAAAGACTGAATCTCTGGCGGTACAGAGAAAGCTGTGGGGACTGGACAATTGCATGGAGTGGAAGCACATGCACATACTCTAGGTAGGTGCATTGCACCTTGTCTTTTCAATTTTTATAAACTCAGTGATAAATTTTAAAATTTATTATTTTATTGCTTCAATAAATATTGAAATGAATATGAATACTTTGCATATATTGATGTGTATCAACTAGTTATGATATAATTAGAATGGATATGAGTGTCTCACATACATTAATATGTATCAAACTTGTTGTGATATTATTGGAATGAATAAGAGTATCTTATGTACAATGATATAGATCAATTAGTTAGGATCAATTGACTGTTAAAAAGATATTTTTGACACTCTTAAACAATATATGATGTGGCTAGGGGTTGAGATAAAGAGAAAATGTTGAATTATAGGTGTTGTGTGTAAATGGAAAGGTTGATGAATCTAGACAGATTTGTCTCCTAACTTGTGAAGAGAATTCGAGTAGGAGGATAAAGGAATTAGGATCAGTTCCTTCATAATAATTGTATATTTGGATGTTGACTAACTAAGAAAACTGGTCTTACTCATTTTGAAGCTATAAAACTTAAGTTATGGATCACCAACCGAGAGTGAGTCATGATAGACTCTATAGGGCAGTAGGTCTGATTTGTTGACGAATAATTTCGAGTGTCTTGGAGGCAGAACTACGTTATCCTCCCTTCATAGGACTTGTAGCCACGAGTCTTATCTTTCCAACAAGACCAAACTTCCTTGAAACGAAGTCTTAAAACTCTAGGTATTGTAAAACAAATCTGAGGAGAGGTCGAAATATGACCTCTGCTGGCAGATTCAAAAAGTCATTAAAATAACTATTTTGACGCATTAAAAGGTGAAAATTTAGGTCCGTTTCCTTTGGGGAACATATGATGTTATATTGTAGCTTCAAAAAGAAATGAGCCATGTTTAAAATGAAAATTGTAATGATAACTATAGCCAGACAAAGAATGACAATATTAATAGATGAAAATGGCATGGATTAACATACATTTAATGTATGTTAGAATCCCAAGTAAGGGGATCACCATGTATTGATGCCTATGGGCATAGACTAACATACATTTAGTGTATGTTAGGGTCCCAGGTAAGAGAATAACTAAACATTGACACCTACAAGGTGATGATGATACCAATGGAATTAGTATTGACAATGCGTTAGTAAAAAATAATTATGGTTGATCTTATAGAATCTTAAATAGAAGTTAAAAATCAAAGATGAAACAGTTTTAGTAGCTCAATGAAGAAGAGGTCCAATGAAAAGAAAAATGAAGAAGTAAATAGAATATTAATACATGTTTGTCTTTTTAAATTGTTAGATATTTGTGTTACTATACTTATTGTGATATTCATATTTTAATAACATGTATTTTATTTCAAGACCATCACATGTACTACAGGAGTAGATCTTAGCTTTTGCTCACCTTTTATTTTGTAGTTCTAGGTAGTATATCCTTGTTTTTTAAAATATTAAAATATTTATAGAATTTAATTTATATATTTGATGTTTAAACTTGAATAGATAAACTTAACTCTAAAATTTATATAACCATGTTTCATATATGTGTGTTTATCTCATTTATCCCTCTATAATGATAATTATTGTTCAATGTATGTTATAAATATTATGGTTGGGGTGATGATGATGATGATGTTTGTGGGATTGAGACCCATGATTGGGTCGTGATTGAGTTATGAGATGTGAAATATTAAAAGCATAAACAAGTATATGTCGATAACTTGGAACCTCTTAGTATATGGGAGACTTTGCCAAATTTTTGGTAGAAATTTTGGTGGAACCTATATATATATATATATATATATATCAACTGTTCAAATTTTCCAGAGGGTTGTCCTAGAGTGTCAACTATTTTGTCCCCTTGATTGTATCAACCTTTCAATTTCTTACATGAAGATTTCTTTTTTTTTACTTGAGGGAGTCATCTTCCATGTCTGGATTACAACAATTGTCACAATTACAAGCATTCCAAAAAACATGGTTGTCCTAAAAGAAAGAATAAAGGGAGAGACCGTCCTTAGAGAAAGATTCTACAGGTACCAGAAAAGGATTTTGAGCTGGTTGCATCATCGAGATGGAGGAGGAAAAGATTCTTGGTGGAGAAGTGAAAGATTCACACTTCTTGAAGATGATTTAAACAGTACTATCAGCTTTTTTGGTGAACTCATGTTCTGTGGATTGTATAGGAACATAGCTTTGATTTAATTTTTCATAATAGGTAATCCAAGAAGAGAGGAGTAACTTTTATAAATTCTTTTTCGGGATTTGTTATGGGACATGAGTAGAGGTGACTCTTTAATTAGTATCAATAATAATAAGCAAAACATCTTTTGTATTAGAAAGTACTAAATCAAAGGCATGATTTTGGACCCTATAAGCCATTTGATAATGAAAAGTAATTTGATAAGTATCTAAAACTTGATCAGCACTAGTGATTTGTAGTTAGACTTTTAAAAAGTGATGGAGTTAAGGGTTATCTAGAACTATATTGAAGTTGGGATAGAAAGTCACAACTACTGTACCACAATTGAGCGCAATTTCAAGAAATCCAATACATATTTGTTGATATTCTAGATATCTGGTATCTAGAAGAGCTAATCTTGCTATAATAGGTAAATTTTTATAGCTATAATAAGATAAGACTAGTCTAATAGTGCTGAAATGAATATGTATATTCCTGATAAATCCATTGGCTTGAAAATTTAAAAGAAATTTTAAGAATAACAAACTGTTGATGAGAAGTAGCAGAAATTTTGCGTTAGTAAAAAAAAAAAGTTTAAACATATTTTTTTGCTATACAAGAAGATTTTTGGTGAGAATTTTAATATGTTTGGTGAGAATTTTAATATTGTAGATAAGAAAGAGATTTTTTTACAAAAGTATGATAAGAATTTACAAGATAAAAATTTATTTAAATTTTTTTTTAAAGTATTATCCAGGAGGCTAATTTTATAGAAATAGTAAACGTCGCTTGCAAATGAAAAGGAAAGGTAAAAATGAGAGGAGGAGGAAAATGTCAGAAAAGAAGGAAAAAAAAAGAAGTAAAAAAGAAGAAGAAAATGACATGGTGACACGCAAACCCAAAGAGGTATGGTAACGTACGCTATAAAATCTGGCATCTTCAGGGAATAAGGGAAACATTTGTCTTGATCTTCAAGATTATTGGTACGTACATCTCAAATATATCACAGTAAAAGTCAAGCTCGAGAGAGAACATTGCCTAGAATTGGGCGAGCTTTGCACATCACCACTAAAGGTTCCACTTTGCATATAGTTATCGTAGTGATCTCAGCCATGTCGATCTCCTTTTCACTCACTCTCTTCCACTCGAAGCACTGAATCAAAGAACCCAAAGTCAAAGCCATCACTCGGTTTGCGAGGCCATCCCCAGGACAAGCTCTCCTCCCCAGACCAAAGGGCGTAAGCTTGTATGCTTGATCAACTGATCTTCCATTTTCAAATCTTTCAGGCTTAAAGCTTGTTGGCTCATCCCACAACTTAGGGTCTCTATGAATGGCCCATGCATTTATAAACAACATTGTACGAGCAGGCACATGGTATCCTCCAACAGTGGAGTCTGCGGATGACATATGAGGCACCAGCAGTGGAGCTACTGGATATAAACGCAAGTTCTCGGAGATGATATCATGAAGATAATGTAGTTTTGGAAGATCTGACTCGTCTATCAACTCATCTCGGCCAACCTGACTAGTGTCTAATTCTTCTTTAGCTTTCTTCAACACTTCTGGGTGGTTTAGCAGATTCGCCATTGCCCATTCCAACGATGTAGCACTTGTTTCTATCCCCGCGACCAACAACGTCTACAATAGATAAATAGACAAAAAAAAAAAAATTTAAACCAAGCTCAGATTTAGTCAGAAGAATATATAGGCTCGGTTGGAGGTCAGCTCGCTGTAAGGATCTCTATGCACTATTCAGGATTTCTAGCTTTAAACAAATTAAAGACAGAATGATAATTTGTTTACCAGAACATGACCTTTGATGATTTCGTCTGTGTAGTATTCAGGTTGCGATTCCTGCAAGGTAAGAAAATGACTTATCATGGTGTTACTGTTCCTGTCAACTCGAAGCTCATCAATCAGTCCTTGGAAGAACACATCCATCCTTTTACTGAGTCTATCCATCTTGTTCACATATCCATTCAAATCAAGCCACTGCAAGAAGGGAAGAAAATCCCCAGCAACTACCGCCCCGCTATAGTGAAGAAACTCTTCCATCATCTCTCTAAATTCCCTTGCCTTGTCTATTTCCTTCACCCCTTCACCATAATATCTCTTCCCTGCAATCATTCTCATCATTATATTACTCGTCAAGTCAAAAAGCAGGGGCCTTAACTCTACCCTGGCAAAGCCATGAGTTGAAACGCGGTACAGTCTGCTCAGCAAGAGCTTGACTTCTTCTTTTCGCATGCCCAGAAAAGCGTTGAGACGAGGTGACGAGAAGATCTCTATAGCACTTATGCGGCGGAGGTTGCGCCAGTGATCACCATAGTCAGCTGTGCCCATGGTAGTGTCGTTGTAGTTCAAGATTCTTCCACTCAAAACATGGGGGCGGTTGGCAAAAACTATGTCCTTCTTGACTAAGCATTCTTCCACACCTGAAGGGGATGACACGATGATGGCAAGGCGGGATCCCAATTTGAGACAAAAGACCGGACCGTATTTTTGCGAGAGAGCCTCAAGGGTTCGGTGGATGGGCTGCTTGAGAAGATGAAAATGTCCGATAATCGGAAGAGAAAGTGGGCTTGGTGGGAGATTCTTGCGTTGCTTTCTTGTTCGTAGCAGCAAGTTGATGGAAAAAACGAGGAAGAAAGTGGAGAGGATTACCGAGTATAGCAAGGTGTTTTCCATCTTGAGGTGGTGGAGAAGATGTGGTGATTGACGTTGAGGCTGTCCGCGAAGATTTATTTGTTTTTCTTTGGTACTATTAGAGATGAATTATTGAATTTTCCTGTGCTCTGATATGACATGGGAACTCCCTTCTATCTTTTTTAGCAACATCAATGGATATTTTCTACGACTTTCTTGCTAAATTTAATTGGAGAATTGACTTCAAGATTGCTCGAACTGTTGATTAGCCGAGGCTGTCCGTGAAGCAAATGCATGAACAAGAATTTTATTTGAGGTAGCCGAGAGTGTTCTTGGATTTAATAATTATGATCATACGGCTTAACCTGATATTTCTCAATAGCTTTGCATTTGTGATGCTTTTAATAGTTTACATGTATTGGTATGCTATTGTATATTTTTTTCATGAGCAGAAATGAATTCAAAGTTTAAAGCGTAATTATATAAAAGAAATATATTTTTCAAAAAGATAAAAATCATGTCCAGAAATAATTTCAGTATTTATACGAGAAAGACTAGTACTTGCATTAATTAAAAGAAAAAAAATATTATTTATAAACATGTGTTGGCGTAACAATTAATTTAATTATTGTGTACTTAGTCGTAGATCGTAGATCCATGAATACAGGAAGGAGAGGGCGGTCTCCATCATGGCATATGTATAAAGTCGAAGCCCCACATGGCATTTTCTAATTTAACGACGATCATCGTTTAAGTCAACATTTTCCGGCGAAACCACAAGAGGTTCGTCTAGCTGCATTTAGCTAGGAATTTAGAGGTTTGCTTCCTTCCAAGTCTTGATTTCAAATCCTCCTACCTCCATTAAAGCCTTGATTTCAAATCCTCGTACCTACCATTAAATTTTTTGACGTCATACAAGGCTTAACTTTGTATAAAAGTTGATTATAAACCGTTAAGACTTGGTTTGTTATACGTAAATTAATCTAAAATACTCAGTACTAAAAAAAAACATTTTTTAACCAGTAAATTAATATAAAAAGATTAAGTTTTTTTATTTAATTAAAAAACTGAATGAGAAGAGTTATTACTAAAATCCAAGATTTAGGCAACTAGGGAAGGAACACGATGAACTCATGGACAAAGACTTGGGGGAACCTCTATTGGTTTTTACAATATGGAACCCATCTTAAAAAAGAAAAAAGAAAAAAAAAAGATGAGGTAGAACAAAAGACAAAAATATCATTAGCTCCGGTTCACTTTCATATCTCCTATCGGCAATTAAACAACATAATCCTAATTTCCTATTTACTAGATGAAAATCTAACCATTGAGTCTCAAGTTTCTACTTTTTTTTTTTTTTTTAAGAAAGAACACAAAAGAACATGAATTGATAAACTATGGTTTTACCTGTTTTGGTTATCTTAGACATGTAAAGAAATAGTTTGGAAGCCACCCCATGATTGTATTTTCTCATAATGGTCAGAAATGAGATTTATTTGCATATGTTGGACTTGCATGACATCTTCGTTGTTTAAGATATGATTTTGATTCACTGTTGGATGCACTCG